ACCTCATCATACGTCGTCTAGCTCCTACAATACACACACCTATACTGGTGTGCTGGTGCGCATTAGAGCCTTTAATTACCATTCTATATTAATGCGATGCTTATTATTACTTAGCTAGCAACTAACAAATATACATATATATATATATATATATATATATATGTGTGTGTGGGTGAGTGAGTGAGTGATTTTATGTGTATACACACGTATGTTTTTATGATAAATACGTGTGTGTATACACACACAAATACATACATACATGTATAGATAGATAGATAGATAGAGCACTGTCTTACTACATAAAATTAATGCTGAATCAATGTGTAATTTTTTTTATACCCTGCCCCCCCACACACATAACACTCATCTCACCCACTCAGACACACACACTTCATCCCTCTCACACATATGTACTTACCCCACCCCACACACGCACACGCACATACATACATGCACACAAACAAAACACTCACATACATATGACATCTTTAATGATATACCCTGATCACAGTACCCATGCACAGTAACTTGGTTGAGCAACCGCATCATTTCACTACATCTTGCTGGATAACTCTGTGTATGTCACAAATTATCTTTGTATTCTTCTATATTAATGGAAAGATCACATAATGTTAGTCAATGTTTGTTTGTCATGTTTTACAGCATTCTACACATTTTCAGTCCAAGCCTGATGCAGGGCAGTTCTCCTGGGTTAAGGGGTCCCTGCTGCAGTTTCACCAGTAAAGAAAATGACTCATTACAATTCACTTGGAGGACCACATAAGCCATGCAGTGGTGCATGGAGGTATGGTGAGAGCATTTCTCTAGATATTGATTGATTTTTGTGGTTTAAAATAATAAATATGTTTGTATGTAGAATGATTAGGTAAATTATGAGGTAAATACTTTTTAGTGGACACATATACCCCCCAACACGTATGTATTCTCTATTTTTAACAGGAGCGCCAAGAGGAAATAAAGTGGAAGTTTGTAAGGGGCATTGGCCCAGCGTGGTACAGAGTCACCGTGGGTTATTCTGTGGGGAGGTGAAAGGGCCTGCCTTTCTCCAGGTGGACGGTAAAAATCAACAGAATGCCATCAAAGACTACCTTGGGGGGAGAATCGGATGAAGCAAGAGATGTCTTTTTATTAGGGGTGCTCCAAACATGATTTTTGAGGCCGATCGCCGATCACAGAAAGCAGTATCTGCTGATACCGATCACCGATACTGATCTTTTTAGAGCCTTCTTTTTATAATTTATAACTATTTATAGTGATACTTCAATCAAGATTCTTAGACATTTATTCAGGGCCTGAATTTCATTTTTGAAAATGGGGGAAATTCCCCTCTTAGGTGACTCTTGTGAGAGGGGAAGCAGCTTTCACACAGGAGTCCGCTACTGATCCGTGGGTGTTTACCACAAACACAGCATTTATCCATTATTTTGATTTCAAA